GAATACCTTTCAATGGTTGTGTCAGAACGCAGCTTTCTTACTGGATGAGAAGAGAATTTCTGACATGTCTTCCATAAATAGCGACATGCATGTCATGCTGCATTTATTGGTCCGGGGTTCCATTGCCCACATGGCTACAAGGTGAAGGCCTGGGTTCCATTGCCCACATGGCTACAAGGTGAAGGCCAGGGTTCCATTGCCCACATGGCTACAAGGTGAAGGCCGGGGTTCCATTGCCCACATGGCTACAAGGTGAAGGCCGGGGTTCCATTGCCCACATGGCTACAAGGTGAAGGCCGGGGTTCCATTGCCCACATGGCTACAAGGTGAAGGTCGGGGTTCCATTGCCCACATGGCTACAAGGTGAAGGTCGGGGTTCCATTGCCCACATGGCTACAAGGTGGAGGCCGGTGTTCCATTGCCCACATGGCCACAAGGTGAAGGTCAGGGCTCCATTGCCCACATGGCCACAAGGTGAAGGCCGGGGCTCCAGTGCCCACATGGCCACAAGGTGAAGGTCAGGGTTCCATTGCCCACATGGTCCTAGGTGTTAAAGCCCTTCTCTGTGCCACAGCCATGATATGACCAGAATATGAAGCTATTGACTGTCTGTATACTTCGTACATTCCAGAAAGACAAAGATGTACCTTGAGTATGTACCTTGAGTTTCTATCTCAAAAGTGCTGAGATAAATTGATTACAGTATGAATGTGAAGAAACTTTATTATATTTTCTCATCACCATTGTTTGTGTGTCCAATAAAACCCATCCCATTTATTGCCATGCAAATGGTAGACCTGTTTATACTTGCTGATTGTCATGCTAATAAGTCTGTTATTATGCATTGCATGTCAATGAAAGCCTGTTGGTTTTTCCAATAGACCAGATAATGTCATTAATCCGACTAGTCTTGGGAATTTTCCTTGACCTTGGAGGACGTGTCTCCACACAGGAAATTCTCTGAATTGATTCGTGGAATTCATTCCATTGATGTCAGCTTTATGTCAACAGCACTTTGTCATTGTCAATTTACCTCAATTTAACAGATCACTCAGCTAAGAATAAAAATTTCCATTGCACGCAAATTGCAGTGTTGAATATAACATTTTAGAAATATCAAAATATCAATTACGGAATCACGGCATCACGTTGATTTGTTTTATTTTGTTTGACTAAGGTGATTATGATGCAGTGATTTGAAATGGGCTGTTTAAGAAATTGACAGGAAGTCTTCATCTCTGAATAGAATGTTTATCACATTGGGCCTTTTAGCACCAAGGGTGTGGTGTATTTTCACACAGCTGGGAGAGGCAGTGGGTAGCCTGGTGGTTAAAGCGTTTGATCAACCTCAGGTCTTGGATTTAAGAGGGGGCACGGGTGGCCCAGTTGTCTGAGGCGCCGTGATTCGCTGTGCAGAGTTGGGCATGCCAAAAACCTATGATTGTGGGGTCGAATCCTGGTTTGGCCTGATTATGTTTCTAGGTTTGTCAGCACCGTACCGATGCTTGTGGGTTTCACCGAAGTGGTAAACGTCTGAGACCTGCATCACTTCAGGCTTTCCTCCCACATTAAGCTGACACGCCGTGACATAACTGGAATACTGTTAAAAGCGGCGTTGAACCCAACTCACTCACTCACTTGGGTTTATGAGTTTATATTAAAACCTTATTCTATAATACCCGGTATATACAGATTCGATTCGCTACATGGGTACAATGTGTGAAGCCCATTTCTGGTGGCCCCTCTGTGAAAACCACTCACTCATTCACACAGCTGAGAAAATGCAGCATGACTGAGTGGCTTTATGTTTACTGCTGCTTGGTGAGTGAGTGAGTATCATTTTACGCCACGTTTAACAATATTCCATCAATATCACGGCGGGGGACACCAGAAATGGGCTTCACACATTGTACCCATGTTGGGAATCGAACTCAGGCTTTAGGCATGACGAGCGAACGCTTTAACCACTGGGCTACCCTAAAGTCCCTGGCTTAAAACAGTACTTCAGTAACATCATGCCACCTTGATGTAGAGGAAAGTGTAAGGCCATTCAGATCCTAGATATGTATTTCTTCGTCATCATCGGAGTGAATTTAGGATTGGCTATTGGCCGTTGGACCTGTTGTAGACAGTGGGGTGCCTAGCCTCAAACACTAGGCAACTAGGGCAGTGATGAGTCCAAATTTGCTACCTGGGTACTACCCCCCTATTACCTGACCCTACCCGGGTACCCACTGTAGTTCTTAGAGATAGGTACAAAATGTCCAATTGGGAATTTTCTGACCATAGCCCTGGCAAAATGTATTAAGATACATATATTAAACATTCTGGTCATTTACACTGAAGTTGACTTAAGTTATATCTATATTCAACCATATGAAAACTCAGAAGGAATGGATGCATGGTCAGAAATAAATGCGAACATCAGTGACTAGTAGTGTAACCATAGAGTTCTAGATCATTTTTGTCATTAAATAATATATCACATGACTTACCATTGGTCTGGGTAGTCCTGTGGGTACCCGGGTCCTACTCAGTACCCACCCAACCCGGGTACCGGAGTTACCCGTCCCAGCCCTATAGGCCCCTATGTTGCCCCTGAACATGTGACTAATCGCAGGTGTTGAAGACGTCATCAGACTGTTTAGTGATAATTAAGTTCATTCCATTTTGTTTTGTAATGAGACACGCTATCCAAACGTCAATACGTAGTAGGTTTTAGCTTTACCTAGTTTGACCATGCCTAGTTAAGGGTGTCTCAAGTTAATCAGTTTAAAAAACAACCGAAAGGATAAAAAAAATTTTGCTACTATCTAGTTCCAGTTTTAAGGTTTGTGTACCTGGATCAGCAGAGGACCCAGACTGTGACCTCCATTCCCTTAATACTTAATACTTGTCAAATGTCGGGATAGAAACATGTGACAATGTTAGTGGTCCCTTTGAGTTCGTTATAACCGTCGTTTACTGTAATAACAAATAATTGCGGGACTTTATCATCACAATGTTATTACCTCCTAAAGTTTTAACAATTAGACTGTTTATTGATGATCCAACAACTCTCTCTTGGGAACTATTCGAAAAAAGATCATTTGAACTATTTAATAAAAAGATCGTTGAAAATTGCATAACTGTTTTCTTAGATGTAAAATTATTGTTATTCCACAAAATATATGCAACACTATAGCAAATGTCAAATATTTTAAAACTTCTGTTAAAGTGAACTTATCATTTGTTTTCTTCTTTTCAAAAGTTTTGGTGATGTCTTTTATTACTAAAACCATACTATCTGAGATTGATAATTTTTATGAAGAACTGTTTTCCTTGACTGCAATTATTGTGAATTAGATTTCATGGAGGGGTGTTTATAGTAATGTCCGTATTATTTCTGGTCTTCCAATCAAAGTAACCTCAATCTCTTTCCCTGAATCGATTCATGTTGCAATTAGATTCATTTAGGGTTATGTGCAGGAATTCATTGAAAGGAAGTTGCAGGGGTATGATCATTAGAAACTTTCTCAGTGATGAAATTCATGGAAATTCTTTAAACTGAACAAACATAAATGTTAGCAGGATCTGATCAGCACTCTGCATGCACAGCTATCCTCCTGGCATAACACTCGGCCTCCATCACGCAAATGGAAAATTGGGTCACATGATTGTGTGAATTTTTCTCGGAATATGAAACAAATCACTTTGTGTGAAATAGCTTGATGTGAGGTGAGGTGAGGTGAGGTGAGGTGAGGTGAGGTGAGGTGGGATGGAACCCTGGACCTTCCGCTCTCTGGAAGGACGCTCTACAGGTTGACACTCTCCGGGTGGAAGCTCTCCGGGTAGACGCTCTACCACTAGACCACGGAGGCAGTCGCTTGATATGAAGGAAATATTCTGTGTCATACACAAGTATGTCTTTTCTCTGTATCCTGAAAATGAAGCCTACATCAAATCAAACCCCTCATACATATGAAATTTATGGAAATATAGTAATCTGAAAAAATGAAACCAAAAGCCAAAATAGAATAAAAATGCAAACATATGCGTTCTTCATCTGAGGCTTGGGTGTGATTGAATATACAATGTATATCACACAGTTATTCAAAGCATACAATTGGCCCATATTGATTGCAGCGTACATGAACAGCAGGGAGACCTATACAATGTATGTGTACAGTGTTCTACAGAGTGAGTGAGTGAGTGAGTGAGTATGGTTTTACACGCTTTAAGCAATATTCCAGCAATATCACAGCGGGGGAAACCAGAAATGGGCTTCACACATTGTTCCCATGTGGAGAATCGAACCCGGGTCTACAGCGTTACGAGGTTTTCTACAGAGACTCCTTGAGAAGGGCTCCATGGTACTGAAACATTTGGCAGACTGGATGTTGACATTAAGAAAATTTCTTTGTGAAATTGTGTTTATGTCTACATCAGTGTTGCCATGACTACAGGAGAGTCACACAAAGGCAATTGTGGCCAAAGTTATGAATTTTGTAACTCAGTGTCTGTTGTTTAAAAATTAACAAGAAGTCCCTTGTCCCTTGTTGCCTACAACACAAGAGGTCGCCTGAAGTGCACTGAATCACAAGAGCTATGAACGCCTATATTACAGTCAGTCTTGAATAAATATGAGGCCACATTAAATATTTCTTGTTTCTTACCAATGGTCCCTATATATTGTCACAGCTGTAATTTTACTAATTTTGTTTGCATGCCAAATTGAGTTCAGATTCTGCTTTCTTGAATTTATTTTCTAATCCAAGGTGCATTTGTTCTTGTCCCCCATTCTAAGGCCCTAAGGACCCAAGACCAGCAATACCAAAAACACACAAACACTCTATACTTGTTTATATAATTGTTTGGGGGCACGGATGTCCCAGTTGTCTAAGGCACAGCGATTCGCTGTGCAGAGTTGCATCCCTCGTGGGTTCGAATCCTGGTTCGCCCCGATTATGTTTCTAGGTTTGTCAGCACCATACCCGTGCTCATGGGTTTCACCGATGTTGTAAACATCTAAGACCTGCATCACTTCTGGCGTTCCTCCCACATTAAGCTGACACGCTGCGATATAACTGGAATACTGTGAAAAGCGGTGTTAAAACCAACTCACTCACTCACTCACTTATATAATTGTTTACATTTTGTAACTTGTGAATCCATTTATTAATTAATCAAAATCAAAAGGAAAAATAAACTAAACATTCAACCTAACTTTCCATTTTTTGTATTGATGACAAACAAGTATGTTGTTTCCTTTTGTCTAGTGAGGTATTTTGTTTCGTTTCCAATTACAATTTCCAGACTATCATAAAAATACAAGATATTACATATCAATATTTTTCAGTACAGATCGACTTACATGGCATTTCAAATAGTTGGAGAATATGAAAATGATAGTACCGGTAAGCAGGACCATCTGTCATATCTTATCAAAATCCTTGGTTTATACTGACTGATTGAACCATATTTCAATGAGTGTGGACTACAATTATAGTGTTTGTTCCTGTAGGTTCTGTTCAATACTGTCTTTATGGAAATAATATGTTGCCTCCAGTATGGAGTTCACCTTCAAGATTGAATAAAACAATAAAACAATAAAACAAAATACTACTGTCAGTTGTGATCGAACTTCAGGTTGGAATGCAAGCAGTTATTACAATAGCCGCCTTCTCCTTTCATCCTACGCTAAGATTAGCACATCATCATGTCTTAGAGATTTTTGTCTCTGTTTTGACCACTAGCACATTAAAAAAAATGGGATTGTTGATCCAGTTATTGTCATTATGAAAGTCCATTAGCAGGAACACATTTAAGGAACACTAGAACACACTGAATCACATACAGCTTGCGTTTCCTCATGAAGCAATCCACTCTGGAAATCGTCTTCTACTCCGTGGAACCGATGGAGCTATTACACAAATGCAGCAACTGAATTGACATGTTTGTGGGATGGGTAGTGTTTGCCATTGATACAAGACACACCTCCTTCTGGGAAATGTCTTCAGCACATAAGACAGTGGTGTTCATAGTAGACATGATACGTCCGTCTCTCATAGGGCATCAAAGGACAAGCCTTTTTTGTGATCCGTTTAGGATGTATCTTTGAACTTATAGGATAACACTCCTGTCGCAGACAATAGACACTGCGTCTGTCATGGGACATAGAACCTGCCCTCCAAGATACCGGACAGTGACACCCGTGGTACACATTAGACACTGCATCTGTCATGGGACATAGAACCTGCCCTCCAAGATACCGGACAGTGACACCCGTGGTACACATTAGACACTGCATCTGTCATGGGACATAGAACCTGCCCTCCAAGATACCGGACAGCCACACCCGTGGTACACATAAGACACTGGGTGTGTCAAGGAAGATAGAACCTACCCTGAAACATACTGGACAATGACACCTTTGCTAGACAATGAACGTTCCAAACAGCAAGGGAACATGGCCAAGCTAGCATAGCTGTTCACAGCATTTCCGTTGTCGTTGCTCTGCAGTTTGCGAGAGTGTAGGGAACATTGCCAAATCTGGCTCGGTTATATACTCCTGTTGTCATGATGGGCACAGGTCCTCTTGTCGTGATGGGCACAGGTCCTCTTGTCGTGATGGGCACAGGTCCTGTAGCTAGCGGTGGGCATAGGACGTCTCCGCGTTGAGAGTCTGAGAGTTGTCTCCCTTGGCGCACACATGGCAGGTCAAGAGCCTGCGGTAGGCGTTCTGGAAGTTCCGGTCCATCACGGTGTAAATGACGGGGTTCATGCAGTACAACAGCCAGGCCATGAACGGAGCCCAGATGTGAGCCAGGGGATGCTTCATCTTCGGGTCGAGGATATTGCTTACAAAATACGGTGTCGTACCGAGGAGAAACCCACAGAAAATAAACAACATCATACCAGTGAGACGAAGGGAATCTTTTTGAGCTTTTTGTCGTCGATACTGACTGGCAGTCCGTGTGACTCGTTTTCGGGAAAAATATGCCATACATCCAATCCTGGCATAACAGAAGCAGATGAATATGCACGGTATCACAAACCCTAACGTGACTGTGGTTATTTTATGTGACTTGTTAGCACTAGTGGTGAATGTACACTGAAGAATCGCCTCCTGAAACGAGAACGATCCCCATAATCCAATAATCGGCGTGATGCAGAAATATAGAGAAAACACCCAGCAGATTACCACCACTGCCAAGAAGGGTCCTCGGCTGGAGAACTTGGAGTAGATGGTAGGATGCACAATGTGAAGGAAGCGATACAAAGCTATGGCACTCAGAAGCATCATGTTGACGCCGATCAGCCAGAATCGAACCGCGGCATGGAGGACGCACAAGTCCGACGGAAGTATCCAGTTGCGGTAGTGGTATATGAGGGCTTGTAGAGGCAGGATCAGACTACAGTAGATCACTTGGGCAAAACTCAGGTTCCCGATCAAAATACTGTTGAGATTAGTTTTGAGATTTGATGTTAGAATTGCAAATACTGTCAAAAGATTTCCAACAAAGCCTACAAGTGCAAACAAGATTGTTAACACCTCCGCCGATATGAAAATAGCTTCTGGGAGGTGTTTCGTGGGGTGGCCCATCGTGTCGTTGTCTGTAGTGTTGATTTCATTCATCATGATGTTTGTGTGGTCACTGCTGGTCAAACATGTACAGAAAATACTGTCAATTGGTGACTTTTAACTTTCAGGAATCATCGCAATGATATTTCCACGAGAAACTCTACAAAGCACAGGTTATATATCAATTTTTGTCACATGATGATTCTAGTATTTCAATCCAGGATATTTTTTCATGTCCTGATGAATTATTTTGGCAACAATCTCAGAATTGAATATTTTTATCTTTGATTATCCACAGTTCGTATTTATCCTTTCAAATGAACATTCCTTCCCTGAAATGGCATGTCAGCCCCCATCTTGTGGCACAGGCTGCTAACTCCGATTGAGGGCAAAACACTTGGGTGTCGACTCTGTTGATGTCTTCAGTTTCAGTTTCAGTTATTTTTTCAGTTTTCTCAGTTGGCATAAGACTTTCATCAGTGTCTGCCAGAACTCTCCAGTATCACGGCCTCAACGTGATCAAGTGCTGCTGTCACAAGACAATCAATTTCTGTGACAATCTTCATCTTTTTCCCACTCCTGTGTCTTTGCTGGGTTGTCTTTTTGTCTCCTGTTGAAAGTGATGTTTGATATCAATACAACTTGCAGCCGATGTGTAATCGTATGTGACGAAAGAAAACAGTGTTGAGTTTCTTTGAACTTTGAAGTCTCTGCCACTCATTCACATCCTGAAAGAACAAAACAAAATGTGATGAAATATTTTGCGTGAAGGATTTGTGATCATTAATACTGGATAATTTTTTTTGTCAATTAGTACCCTTCCTCACTAGTGTGTGTGGCTGCAAAAAATGGCCTTTTGATAAAAAAAATTCAAAATATGTCACTTTGCTGATCCACTTATGTTGAATTAAACAAATGACTATCTCAAGGTAGACGTTAACAAAAGATATTTTCAAGAAATATCAGGGTTATTATGTTATAATGCAAAACAATTAGGGAATATGTTATCGCACAGAAGCCCACACAGATAGTAAACTTTATTTATGTATATTAAATATTCTTGAAAAAGGTTTGTAATGACAGTTTGTTATTTAATCTTAGTGCTAAGACTATCGTAAGCCTATGTTAAAGTATGTGAATTACGATCATCTTAGCGCTCAGACAGCTTTGTGCAAGTGGGCCCTAATGCCAAGATTGTACTAGTCCGGACTGATGCCGATTTATATTGCTAGCGCACTGAGATACCATGCTGCAGTTTAACATGAATACCCCACTCAAACACAGTATGCTGACTCCGAGCTAACCAGTCCTTGTTTTAGTCCCTTAATGCCGAGCGCCAGACAGGGTAACAACAAGTATCTTTTAAAGTCGTTTGGTATGACACGGCCGGTGATCAAACCCCGGACCTTCCGCTCTCCAGGCAGACGCTCTACCACTAGACCACGGAGGCAGTCTGTCACAGGGTGAACTTGCCCATAGTGATCAAACAGTGAGGGTACAATAGAAAGTAGTTCACACAAGTATGGTGCTACACAATAGTAAGAGTCCCTATTTCAACAGCAGGAATTAAACATATACTCACTCAGTGTGTCCTCGCTACTTCAGATATGAATATCCTACTTAAATACTACTAAATTATGTAGGTTCTCTACAGTAACGTTAAAGAATGGATGGTCTGTACCTGCTGAAGTTCCACAAAACACAAGACCTTTTCCCAACTGAAGTGTGCGGCTTCATTTGTACATTCAACTTGAAGTAATATTATATACAGAATGATGAGGGTTTTTTTATAGAATCGGTTATGGGGAAGAGAGAAATGTACATCTGTGTAGAAATCTGAAGAAATGTGTGGAAGTGTGCAGAAATGGGTAGAAATATGTAGAAATTTGTACATCTCTGTACATCAGTATACATCAATGCAGAAATGTATATACAAACCAATCGTTGATAACCATAACTCACTCACTCACTCACTCACTCACTCAACGTCCTTCCCACTCACTCACTCACTCACTCACTCACTCACTCACCGAACAATGAAGTGTTAGCATGAGGTACAAATGTTCAATTCTAACCCTTGAGATTCTATTATATCAACCACCATTTTCTTCAAAAAGTTATCTTTAAGTTTATTCCAACATTTCAAAATAATCATCAAACCATGAAACTCCCTGGATATCAGGAATCTGTGTTAGTTATTATTGTCAGTGGAAACGTGACATGAGTGAGATCTCCTGATTCATTTATCATTCCGTTGGCGTATATTCCATCTGTTGTCGGCGTGGATGTAAATCTGCTGTAGTTCATTATAGTTAATCTGCCCGAGATGTCGACAGTTTGGTCAGGTCTGAGAAATCTCAGCTAATCCAAGATGTTAAACTTCTCAAAATAATAGGCCGAAACTGACTCTAATCACTAGCTTGCAGAATCCGTGGACAGTTCGTCTCTTGTAATTAAATGTGAGGAATGGCCTTGACCACTGCTGGTGGTGGTGCCAGGCAAGTCATCAAGTACGGAATACCCTCCATCTGGAAACTGTCCTTTTTCTCCTCTTTTTCTGTTGTTCAACGCCGCACTCAGCAGTATTCCAGCTATACAACGGTGGTCTGTAAATAATGAAGCCTAGACCACACAATCCAGTGATTGACATCATGAGCATCGATCCACACAATTGGGAGATGATGACATGCGTCAACCAAGTCAGAGTGCCTGACCACCGAATTCCGTTAATCACCTTTTACAATAAGTCGCCTTTTACGGCAAGGGTTGCTGAAGAACTATTCTACCCCGGATCTTCACAGCTTCGTCTGGAAACAAAACACAAGCTTCTAAACACGAAAACACCACTGCCCACAGTAATAAATCCGCTATTCATATGAAAATGGGAAATTATAATGCCAGTGCATAAATGATGAATATTTTAAAAGCAAGTTACAACAGATTTAGATTACATATTTTTTACAAACATTAACTTGCAAACTATAGCACCAAATATGATATGGTCATGTGTCTGAGATATGAATGTTTAATCTGTCCCTGATGATCTTCTCTCCAATAGTCCAGACCAGAAATATTTATAGTAGTATGTTTTTGCCGATAATATATGTCAACTATATTGCTGTATAGGTTACTGGTCAATAGTAGTCAGTAGTAGTCAGTAGTAGTCAGTAGTCAGTAGTCAACAAAACGATCCATCACAAGATTCCATAACAGAATCAAATCTGTTGTCAGAAAACAATAGAAAATGTCACAGTTGATGAATTGTCAGGTAAGACTTCAGAAACAGAATGTTTTTTTCACAAGTTAATTAAGTAAAGCAGTATCTGAGCATACGCTATCTTTCCCAATCTCATTAAAATCAGATCTTAGACTACCGCTAAACAAAGATCTGAGGACATCCCATTACGGGTCACGTCAGAACGACCTTTCGCATTCTTTGACCGACCAATGAAATTACTGACAAGAAATCAACATTAGCCAATCAGAAAGCAGCTTTCTTGAGCTTTATAACAGTAAATATAATAGTTTCAAACTTTTGACTACGCTTCGAAACATATTTTGACGTATTCTCGATTAAAAATTTTAAAACTGATAAAAAGAACATTCTGGAATGGCTTACAGATGGCCTAGATTGTATGCATGGGTATAGTTATAAAACCCGTAACTGTCGTTCGGAATAATATCGGTTAAATATTTCGAGGTTGCATGATTAGAAAACACATTCCGACTGTCACTTTCGGGATCTGGTAACCAACGCTAAGAAGGTTGGATGAAAGGTCATGCTGACGTGACCCCTAATGAGATGTCCTCAGATCTATGTTTTGCGATAGCGAGAACTAAGATCTGATTTTAATGAGATTGCTATCTTTCCTAGCACTGCAATACATTGAGAGCATGTATATATTACCCTGTACCTTGTCAAAGTAGACACAATTCATGAATAACAATGATTGTACACCTCGCCTGACATAGTACTCTGTTCATTCTCTTCACCATAGACTTGCACAGGTCTCTAAGGCAGTAATTATTAGTTTAATTCATTATTTATAGATTAAGTAAATAATAAGAACAAGTTGTCCCTAAAAGAGAGTCCTTGTCCACGTATCTAGACTTGCCTATTAGGAGGATAGAATTACTACACATCTATAGACTTTTCTTTCAGTAGTCAGCCTTGGAGCAAGGCTATCTTCACCAAAGCAGTGGAGACTGTAAACTAATAAGTTTAACTACAATAATTTAAGAGACAAAAACTGACTGGTTAAGTACAGCTCAGTACTTCCAAAACTGAAATTTGCAATTTTAACCAATTCCTTTTTCTAAGATATTGCAAGGTAGGGACACTCGCTGGTGAGAATGACTAAAGCCTATTACACTGTGACTCTAACAATGGATTACCGAGATGACACAATCCCTGTTGAGCCAACCCACAACGCTGATGTAGTAGCACTTCTCATTTCCTCCGTAGCGTTAGGCTGATGTGTCCTTTAAAATGATCTGATCCTCCAGCCCGGGGAGGTGGCGTTGGGGGAATGAATATTGCAGTATGTCTACTAGTGTCGTAAATGGATTTGGCTTTTAATTTGTAAATGGGTTGAAATCAATACAGGCAGTTTAAAAAAAATTATGTTTCTTTGCTAATAAGAATGAAGATATGGCATGCCTTCATGTAGGCAGAATCCATGGTCTTGATGTACAGGGCAGGTTTACAGTGTGTACCAGGTCATGTTGGCAGAATTCATGGTCTTGGTGTACAGGGCAGGTTTACAGTGTGTACCGGGTCATGTTGGCAGAATTCATGGTCTTGGTGTACAGGGCAGGTTTACAGTGTGTACCAGGTCATGTTGGCAGAATTCATGGTCTTGGTGTACAGGGCAGGTTTACAGTGTGTACCGGGTCATGTTGGCAGAATCCTAGTCTTGATGTACAGGGCAGGTTTACAGTGTGTATCAGGTCATGTAGGCAGAATCCTAGCCTTGATGTACAGGGCAGGTTTACAGTTTGTATCAGGTCATGTAGGCAGAATCCATGGTCTTGGTGTACAGGGTAGGTTTACAATGTGTCATCAGGTCATGTAGGCAGAATCCTAGCCTTGATGTACAGGGCAGGTTTACAGTTTGTATCAGGTCATGTTGGCAGAATTCATGGTCTTGGTGTACAGGGCAGGTTTACAGTGTGTATCAGGTCATGTAGGCAGAATCCTAGTCTTGGTGTACAGGGCAGGTTTACAGTGTGTACCAGGTCATGTTGGCAGAATTCATGGTCTTGGTGTACAGGGCAGGTTTACAGTGTGTCATCAGGTCATGTAGGCAGAATCCTAGTCTTGGTGTACAAGGCAGGTTTACAGTGTGTACCAGGTCATGTTGGCAGAATTCATGGTCTTGGTGTACAGGGCAGGTTTACAGTGTGTATCAGGTCATGTAGGCAGAATCCTAGTCTTGGTGTACAGGGCAGGTTTACAGTGTGTATCAGGTCAAGTTGGCAGAATTCATGGTCTTGGTGTACAGGGTAGGTTTACAGTGTGTCATCAGGTCATGTAGGCAGAATCCTAGTCTTGGTGTACAGGGCAGGTTTACAGTTTGTCATCAGGTCATGTAGGCAGAATCCTAGTCTTGGTGTACAGAGCAGGTTTACAGTGTGTCATCAGGTCATGTAGGCAGAATCCTAGTCTTGGTGTACAGAGCAGGTTTACAATGTGTCATCAGGTCATGTAGGCAGAATCCTAGTCTTG